AAATAAGAAGCCATGAGGGTTAATGGAATTAAAGATAAGAGTGATGAAATACACATAGTTCATGCTAAACTGATTGGTCACTTTTTGATTGTTCAAAGTTATAACATCCCTCCAGAAGCAATCTATAATTTACAACCCCATTTCAAAGTGATGACACTGCAGCATCCCCATGGTCATTCACCATTAAGACCAATTGCAGGGATGCTGTAGCAGCTCCACCTCTCTCTCATCCATTCCACTCTGCCAGGTCCCCGCAGGCTTTGGGTCTTCTCTTGCTGCACCCATCACCCACTACACACTTATCATGTGAAGAATTCTAGAGCTCATGTTGCGTAAGGAATACAGGCTACATATCTCTGGCCTGTGTGGCTGCCTCCTTGAACAGCCACCAATTTCAGCTTGCACACAATCCCTTATAGTCACAATGAAGTAGTGGCTGTTTCCAGTTAGGCAGTCATAAAGTTCAAATGAACCACTCCATTTTGCTTCCCTAACACAGTCTGCACAATGCTGCAAAGAATTCCAGAGTTTTCTGGAGCACAATGCAGACCACATTAGAAGCATAACGGAGTAGTTTTCCCTGGGGCACGCAGTGGCCTCCTGAAACTGGCTGCCATTTTCAGTGTGCCCATAACACCATGCAATTCTGCTAAAATTGTGTTGACTTGCACAAGGCTGTGGAACTCCTATTCAAGAAGCAGATGGTAGTTATGGCCAGAAGAATCTCTGAGCAACTACCAGTTATTACTGTAGGTAATAAATTTGTTTGAGTTTTTGAAAGATATTAACAGTGATAAATAAATATCACTGTGATAAACATATAATCATCCAGTGATGAACTGGATACTAAAGAGGACTGAAGATTTTAGATAGAGGGAAAAAATGCAAGCTTATAAAGGGCAAAATACTGTAATAATGAAAATACCAAACAAGACTTTGAAAATGATGTCAAAATTAGTAGCTACGATATCTATAACGTCAGTAATGATGTCTAGTTCTAAGTCAAAAAGATGTTACTGAAGAAATGACAGTTTTAGAACAAATTTTATCTGGCAAGATAGAAATGATGTTGGAAATGAATTTACAATAGGCAGACTAAAAGAATGCTTTGAAAAAGGATGTTTCACTGGATCGATAAAAAAAATTGACTGATGTTTTAAAATTCAAAAGCATTATGCAGATGATAAACCAAAATAATGACCCGGACAATATTTTTTAATTAGATGTACAAAAGCAGCTTCTTAAAGACTTAAAGAGCTCTGTGGGATGGAACAAACAAGAAATCAAGAAAATCAAAACCATATTTGAATGAACTAGAGCTTAAGACTGTTAGAAGTAAAAACAGTAAAGTAACAGTAAAAAGAATATAAAGTTTGTTTGATCAAAGTTAAAATAAGGTACAGTGTATCTCAGTACTCAACTGTTTTGAAATTCATTGAATTTGGTACTTAATGCATTTTGACAAGAAAATTTTGTCTCAGTACTTGTTGTTTGTTTGGTATTTGATATACAAACTAGAACTTGTCAGTGTCAGGGTTTTTTTTTCTCATCAATATGGGTAAAGTGGGCTAAATGCAAAATAGACTAATCAGTTATCAGAATGATATTGGTGGATGAAGCAAAGATACTTCGAAAGGGCAAACAAACAAGGGAGGTGGCTCACTTACCGTCTAAATAAAGAAAAGGAAAAGAATAGAATCCATAACTTGAGAGATGGGAAAGGCAATTGGATTACAGGGGAAGAAGGGAAGAAAATAATTGCACAGGAATTTTATACTAACCTATATTGTAAGGATGATAAGTCTGAGCAGGAAATAAAGAAATACTTAGAGGAATCAGACATACCCCAAATACCAGGTTTATCTAGGGAAGTATTGGATGAAGAAATTACAGAGGGGGAAATCGAAAGGGTCATGGGAAAACAAAAGACAGGGAAAACTCCCGGTACAGATGGCCTACCGATTGAATATTACAAAGCACTTTGGGAAATACTAGGTACGCATATGACTGAGTTATTTAATGGGGTGATTTGGGAGGGACAGACCCCGAAATCATGGACAGAAGCACTAATAACTCTTTTGCCAAAGGACGATAGTGACCTATCTCAGATTCAGAACTATAGGCCCATCTCGCTCCTTAACGCAGATTATAAATTATTCGCAGCAGTTTTAGCAGAGAGACTCAAAGGGTTTCTTAACCAATTTATACATGAAGACCAAAATGGCTTCTTACCAGGCAGACAGATTAGAGACAATGTAAGAATAGTTATGAATGTTTTGGAATACTATGAAACCCATATTGATAAACAATTGGCCCTGGTATTCATGGATGCACATAAGGCCTTTGACCGTGTGAACTGGAGCTTTTTAATAGGTTTACTGCAACATATGCAATTTGGAGAAAGATTTATTCGGGCAATCCATGCAATTTACTCGAAGCAGACTGCTAAAATTTCAATTAATGGTGATGTATCCGGTCAAATTGATATTGAGAAAGGAACTAGACAAGGGTGTCCGCTTTCCCCGTTGTTATTTATTTTGTCATTAGAACACCTACTGAGGGAAATTAGACGTAATACGGGGATAAAAGGTCTTTATATCCAAAATCAACAATATAAGGTGCAGGCTTACGCTGATGTCTTAGTATTTATATTAGAAGATCCGTTGATATCGGGACCATGTCTGACCCAGGAAATAGAAAAATATGGTAAGGTGGCGGGATTAAAAGTCAATAGGGAAAAAACTAAAATTATTGCCAAAAATCTGACAGTAAAGCAAGGGAAAGAATTAGAAGCGAATTTGGGGTTCCAAATTGTAAATAAACTAAAATATCTAGGTATTATTATATCAGCCAAATGCTCCACGATCAAAGAAGACAACTATCTGAACCTTCTCAAGAGAACAGGTCAGGATCTAGAGAAGTGGAAGAACATGCAGATATCCCTACTAGGTAGAATAGCAATTATAAAAACTTAAATACTCCCGAAATGGATATACCTATTCTATACAGCACCAGTTAGATTGGATAATAATTTCTTTAAAAAACTAAATTACTATGTCCTTAAATTCATCTGGCAAAATAAAAAACCCAGAATCAAACTTAAAATGCTTCAAGAGCTTAAAGAAAGAGGAGGATTTGGTGTTCCAAAATGGGAATACTACTATCAGGCCGCAAATTTAGTCTGGATCAGGGATTGGATACTGTTGAGAAGAAGGAGGTTGTTGATCTTGGAAGGGGAGGGGCTACATCAAGGTTGGCATTATTTTCTTTGGCAAAACAGAACCCCAAAACACAGGTGCCTTGCAGGACATTATATGAGGAATATTCTAATTGAGTCCTGGAGGAAAATTAAGGGTAAATTTTACTCTTCAATCCCCTCTTGGCTGATCCCACTCGAAGCTATAACGTATAGGCCTTTATATAACAAAGAAAATCATCTCTCTTACCGGGAACTTTTGGACCCCCATGGTAGTCTGAAATCAAGAAATGAGTTGGAGTTGCAGGGAAGACAACTGGATTGGTGGGCTTATGCCCAAATTTGCTCGAAATTTAAAAAAGATAGGGAACAAGATGGTATTAATTTGAATCAGCATGATCTGGACAATATCATTCTAGGAAAAGAGGACAAAATGTTATCAAGGATATATAAACTTTTAATAGACTATTGGATAGGGGATGAAATAGTTAAAGACTCTATGATTGCCTGGGGGAGAAATATTGGCTATCCAATTGATATGACAAAATGGGAAGAAATCTGGCTTAAACATATGAAATTCCTGTGGGCAACATCATATAAAGAAAATGTGTACAAGATGCTGTATAGATGGCACCTTCCACCTGCTCGTCTTTCTAAAATGTATTCAAATCTCTCACCAAACTGTTGGAAGTGTGGGGAGATTGGCACCTATTTCCACATGTGGTGGACCTGCTCCAGGACGACTGAATTCTGGAAAATTATACAGGCATGGATCATGGAAATCACAGGTTATAACCTAATTCTGAAACCAGAGTACTATCTACTGAACATCAGGCCAGACAACATAGGCACAAATATATGGTGTCTGTGTGTATTTATCACCACGTCAGCAAGAATATGTTTCGCCCAACATTGGAAGGGGAAAGACCTGCCGGCTGAAGATTTGATTTTGGAGAAAATTTTGGATTATGCGGAAGCCGACAGACTGACTAAAGCATTGAGAGATCAAAAGGACTCCGTATATTTCCAATGTTGGGACAAATGGTACGTTTGGTTGAACAACAGACGCCCAAAAAGTCAAGTATAACCAGGATTATGTTTAATATATGTTAAATCTGACTGAAGCCTACATAAAAAAAAAAAAAAAAAAAAGAATGATATTGAGATAGTTTGGTCACACAAGCAATGAATGAAGCTCAAATTGCAAAACAAACACAGGTAATACTTGACTCTTCACTTAGCCATCATTCGAAGTTACAACCTATCTGAAAAAAGGGACTTACGATCTGGATCTATAGTTATGATGGTCGCAACCTAACCCTATCATTTGCAGCATCCTGCAAATGAGATCATGTAATCTCATTTTATGATAGTTTTGTCAAAAACCCATAGTTATTTCCAGTTTTCATTAAAATTGCACCCAAAGCTAACTTATTTCCAAATAAATATGAATAGAATTAGTTTTACAGATAAGAAGCATAGTAAGCAGAGCTCTGCAGGGCTTCAGATTTGATTTGATTTGATTTTCTGAAAATGCAGGAATATAATTGTGTGATTTGAAGCATACTGTTTAAGCAGCAAAATGTGCATCTGATTTAAAGAGTTACAGCCAAATGCTACATTGGTGTTCTGCGTACTCCAAGCAGTTTCTGGAATAGATCCAAATTCATTTGATCAAATCAGAAAATATGAACATCTCAATTTATTTCCAACAGTACATTCTTTAAAGTTAGTTTAACTATAAAGTACTTAAATCTTAAATGTTAATTCAATTTTTAAAATAACTATTAATTTGCAGACATACCTCCCCGTGGTTGAAAAAGTAGCATGCCACTGTAAGTAACCCTCCAAATCTGTTCCCACTGTAAAGGGAGAGAAGGGGGGGGGAGTAATAAAATTTTCTTTTTCAGACAAGCTTAAGTGATAAAATAAAAATACTTTCATTTTATGAATAATCTGCTTTAAAATTTTAGATAAGTAAAAGAGTGATTCCATGATCCACCCCCCCACCCCCCAACAGTGCTTGGAGGGTGTTAAGGGCTGGATGGGGAGCAACCGGCTGAAACTGAATTTAAGCAAGACAGAATAGCTCTGAGTTTGTGACTCCTTGATCCATGAAGAATTGCCACCTTTGGTTTTGGATGGGGTGACATTACCCCCAAACAGATCCAATGCATAATCTGGGGATTCTCCTGGACTCAAAACTTCTGCTCAAGGAGCAGGTAGCAGTTATGGGTAGGACAACTTCTGCGCAACTATGGGTTATATGCCAGTTACATCCTTTCCTGGACCAACAAATCCCTGTTCAGTCATTCACATCCTAGTTATCGCCTGTCTTGACTATTGCAACGTGCTTTCTATGTGAGGCTGCCCTTGAAAAACATCCAAAAGCTCCTATTGGTTCAAAATGCAGCAGTCAAATGGTTTTATGCAGACCCAGGTCGGCACCTCTCCTGCAGGAGCTGCACTGACTGCTGATTTGCTTCCAGTGCAATTCAAGGTGCTGGTTGTCACCTTTCAAGTCCTTTATGGCTTGGGATCAGGTTATTTGTCTCTTCCCAGTTACAGCCACCTGATGCACTAGACAAGGAGGCACGGAATGTTGAGATTCCTGTCTCCTAAGGAGGTATATCTGGCAGCACCCAGAAGAACGTCCTTTTTTGTGATGGCTCCCTCCCTTTGGAACATCATCCCTGCAGAGATTACACTGGCCTTCATTTTGACACGGTTTGACAAGGCCCTGAAGAACTGGTTCTGCCAACAGGCCTGGAGAACCCAGAGTGGAATGGAGCCCATCCAGTGGCTCATTTAATTACCTGTTGTTACCAGTGGGTAGGGAGTTATTGTTTTTATTCTTTTTTTATTGGGTTTTTATTATTTGTAAACTGTCCAGAATCACTGAGAGTTAGTGGGCGACCATATAAATCCAACGAACAAATAAACAAGTATTCACAATGTGCATCTAATCAGATTATGAAGTTAAAAATGATGTTTCAGGAAAGACAGGTACAGCTTTCAGTACCTGCTAGTACCTTCTTTAAGAAGATGCATTTTTTCCTGGATTCAAAAATAGTCTTGTGTCTCAGGGAAAGACATGCTTGAGTTATGGAGGTACTCAATAGATTTGATACACTCTGTTCCTGCCTCCTAATTCAAACATGTATTTTCCTGGCTACCATGTGAACCCATGAAAAGATTCAGTTTATTACAGGTTGAAGAAATATTCAAACAACTGAAAATTCTATAGCTTGTAAATTACAGGTACATGTAGTCCTCGACTCACAACAATTAAGAACAAAATTTCCAGTGTAATCAGACCTGATTTTATGGTGGCTGTTAGGCAAATCATGCATGTCTCCCTGGCCACCCACACACCCTGCCAGGTAGTTGCCATCTCAAGCATCGCTGCATTTGCACCTTATCTTCCTAGCCACCTGCATACCTCTCTTTATATGTCTGAAAGCCTGCTTTCAAGTCACCTGGGACATACAAATTCCTGCTGGCTTCCCCACTGATTTTGGTTGTTAAAAGCCAGCAGGAAGTTATGAGGAGGTCCTTGCTTAACAACCTGTGAATATCATTTAACAATATAAATGGAAACAGCAAGAATTGTTGTTGCTAAGTGAGGTGGTCACATAACATTATGGTTTACAACTGCATCACTTAGTGACAGATATTCTAATCCCAACTAAGGTCTATCTGTACTTCTACATGTGAATAGAAAAGGAATATTTTGCAAAGCATGCCAAAGTATTATCCTCTGCTTATAAAACTTTCATGACTTTTAGAAATCTGGACCAATAATTTATAAAGTAGAATTAAGAGAAATGAAGGGAAGTTTCAATCTCTGTATAGCATGTCTTAATTTTTTAATTATCCACAACAATATTTTCTGTAGAATATATTTATTTCTGCATATTGCACTAAATAAACTTGTTTTTAATGCATGATTTAAAGAATTAGATCTTTATTTAAAGAAAGTTATTTTTTCGCACACATATAATAGTGAGACCTGAGTCACATGCTAAATCTAAACAAAGGAAGATTCAAGATTGTCAAAAAGAAAAACTTTTTACACAGTATACAATTTGCTACAAGCAACTATTGGCCACTATATGAGAAAGAATACTAGAAAAAAATGGACTTATAACTTATTCAGCAAGGCTTTCTTATATTATTAAACTAAACTGAAAATAAAAACTACCATTCTTTATTTTTTTCATGCACTCACACAATGTGCATTGATATCATTCTGCAATTTGAAGTAATAGTACATGCTGCCTCATCCTACAATAGCATCTAAAAGCTGCAAAAGATCTGATCTGATAACTTCTGAGAGAATAGAAGTAAATGGTGACACAGTTCCCAATGGTACAGATCTGTCTGTCTGTCTTTCTTTCTGTTTATCTGTCTATCTCTATCAATATTTTATATTATTCATCACAGTTGCATAACTCTGGGCAGTTTACAAATAAAATTATAAAATCATAGTTAAAAAAATTAACAAAATTAAAACAGTTAAAAAGAAAAATTGTAGTTAAAAGACACTGGGAATGCCTTTAACCCATCAACCAACCCAAGAGTTGGATGACATTATGAAAAACAGTATACAATGGGCATTTAGAATCAATGGGCATTTACAATGGGCATTTAGAATTTTTTAAGAGAAGGATAGATATTTGGATTTTCTTTCTATAGTATTAAATTTTAGTGTCATTTAGTGCAACCATTTGAATGAAAGTCTTTACTCTGGCCACATATTAGAATCATGACCTACAATTCAGAAGCAAAATAATGAATTTATGAATCTAGAAACATAAACACTTTTCACAGTTAATGCTTATCTTTGATAAAACATGTCCTCTCAGAAATTTTATCCTGACTACTTCTGTGACTTTAGACATATATAAATTCTAGCATAAATTAAATATCAAACTACCAGTTATTTAGCACATTTCAAACACACAGAAAATAAAATTACCTATAAATATAAGGCATATTGTTAAATTTTTATGGAAATAAAACTACATATAGCACTTGATTTACAATTGTGAGCCCAGAATTACAGTTGTAAGTTTGTGATTGTAAGTTGAGGCGCCATGTGACCGGACCTAAATTTTTAACATTTTTGTCGTGATTGTTTTGTGGTGATCATTAAGTAAATGCTGTGGTCATTAAATGAATAACTTTTTCCCACTAAGCAAAGAGTGGCAAAATCAGTCATATGACTTTGGAACATTGCAAATGACCATAAAACTGAGCCGGTTGCCAAGCATCCATAGTGAGATAAGCAAAGGAGAGGGGCAACCATCATAACTTCAAAAATGGATCACAAGTAGGTTTTTGAGAGGGGATCAGTCATAACTTCAAACAGTCACTAGGTGACCTGTTGCATGTTGAGGATTACCTATATATCGCATTACAATTTAATCTATATTAAAACATTTTATTATTGTACTTTCAAGCTTTAAACATTATATTTCAGTTCAAAACAGATCGTTCAATTAGAATAGAACAACAGAATTAGAAGGGACCTTGGAGGTGTTCTAGTCCAATCCCCTGATCAGGCAGGAAACCCTTACCTGTGATGGCGAGCCTATGGCATGAGTGCCAGAGGTGGCACACAGAGCCCTCTCTGTGGGCATGTGCGCTGGTCACCTGGTCTTTAGGTTTCCAGTGCTTCAGCACACACAAAGATCAGTTGGCCGGCATGCATGCGCGCACCGGAAACCCAAAGATCAGGTGGCTGGTGCACATGCGTGGCTGGAAACCAGAAGACTAAGTGGCTGGTGTGCATGTACGTTCTGGTGCACATGCAGCTAGTTTTCGAGTTTCCAGAGCTGTGGCGTGTTCGCGTTCCGGTGTGGGCACTCGTTGCCAAAAAGGTTCGCCATCAGTGCCCTATACCATTTCAGACAAATGGTTGTTCAATCTCTTCTTAAAAACTTCCAGTGTTGGTGCATTCACAACTTCTGGAGGCAAGTTATTCCACTGATTAATTGTTCTGTCAGGAAATTTCTCCTTAGTTCTAGATTGCTTCTCTCCTTGATTAGTTTCCATCCATTGCTTCTTGTCCTGCCCTCAGGTGCTTTAGAGAATAGCTTGACTCCCTTTTCTTTGTAACAACCACTGAGCTATTGGAACACTGCTATCATGTTACTCCTAGTCCTTCTTTTCATTAAAGTAGATATACCCAATTCCAGCAATTTTCTTTTCTTTGTTTTCTTTTTTTTATATGTCTTTATTTTCTTTATATGTTTTAGCCTCCAGTCCCCTAATTATCTTCGTTACTCTTCTCTGCACTCTTTCTAGAGTCTCAACGTCTTTTTTACATCGTGATGACCAAAACTGGATGCAGTATTCCAGTTTTGTCACAATATAAAAAAATATGTTGAAATGTTCTTACTAATGCTTTATGTTATTCTAATCAATTAAGTGTTTCAACTTCAAAATCACTTTGTATAGCATAACAATTAGAACAGCATCAGAATATTTCTCAACTAAACTGGAAGAACTTGCTTTAAATTTGAAACAATTATTTGAATTTCATGAATTAGTGAATTAGTACTTTATGCTAAAAATGTTTTGAACTCCCTTGTTATTCCCTTCTGAAGAATACCTGCATGCAGAAATGTTTCAGTATAGGAAGTCTTCCCTTAACAAATTGCTGAGCACGTTGTAAGCCGCCCTGAGTCTTCGGAGAAGGGCGGCATATAAATCAAATAAAAAAAAAAAAAAAAAACCAGCAATTGGGACCAGCAATTTAACACCATTAAGCAAAACAGTTGCTAAGTGTGACATCACATGACCATGATTGTGCTTTCCAATGGGAAAGTGACAAGACTAGTGTTGTGGTCCACCA